CTCTTTACCTTGTGTCTTCCTCATTCTGCCTGGCTAGGGTCCTATCTTTTCATCAATTCCCACAATGGTACCTTGCTTAACAAGGGCAAGTGGGTAATAGCATACCGCTGGTGTGGGACTAGGATGTTGTTAATGCCACCAAGTTTGACATTGATCTTCAGGCAGAGGTTGGAGAGAGTCTGAGGCGAGGTCTTGACCACATTCTTCACTTGCACACACTGTGTAGCCATTCCCAAGAGTGTATCTCCAACACGTTTCACCTCAGCTGTAAGAAGGGAGAGAACTAATTAGTGCATTCACAAATACTGAATGCCTACTAGATCCCAGGCAGTACTGGACGTGCTAGGGACCACAGTGGTGATCAGAAACACATAGGGTCCCCACTCTTATATTGTTTACTATCTAATGACTAATTTTAAAAATCATGAAAAGTACAATGTTAAATGCTACAATAGAAAAATTCATGGAACTATGAGAGCATAAAATAGGGGATAATAACCTAGCCAGGAAAGGACTGAGTAAGCAATTACGAACTGAAATCTAAAGGTAAAAAAGAACATAGAAGAGAGGGGGAATTTGGGAGAGAACATTCTAGGCAAAAATGCACTCTGACAGGAGATAGCATTCTATGTTTGACAAACAAAAAGGCCAAAGTAACTACGAAGGAGAGCAAAGGAACCATAGTGTGAGAGAAAGAATATGGTCATTAGACTGACCTAGGGAAGAAATGAGAGTAGTTTACATTAAGAAGGCAGTTGTTAAGATGGAGAGAAACAAAGCTGAGAGATAGTTAAGAAATTCCAAGAATACATACATATGTAAATAAGGGAAAATAATTTCTGTGTTGCTAGCTTTTGTAATAAAATAGATAGATCATAAATTCTTTTTGAGACACTTTGAGTTCCAAGTGCTTTTTGGTCATCCCAGTGAGGATATGAACTAGACAACTGGATATAGAAGGTGGAAGCTAAAGACTAGTCTGAAATGAAAATGTAAAATTTGTTAAATGTTTAAGTACAGGTAGTAAGTGAAGGTATACACTTGATGGGATTATCAAGAGAACAGAGGAAAAAGAGAAGAGAGCTTAGACCTGAATTTCGAGGAACTCCCAATATTTGCAGAACAGGAAGATGAGTCTGCAAAGGACTTTTCTCCTGCAAAGGAGAAAAATCCAGAGAAATAATAGGAAGAAAAAGACAGCTGTATCATGATTGTCAAGAGAAGAGAGAGAGTTTGAAACAGAAACAAGTGTTCAACTAAGTCAAATGCTACTAAGAAATCAGGTAAAATGAAGACCAGAAATGTCCTTTGGATTTAGTGAAATCGAGGCAAAAAATTAATGTATACAGCCGAAAACTATTTTGGTGATATAAAGAACCAAGAAGGAGGCAGAGGATCAATGAAGGGTTTGGTGTGTTTTTAATGGGAAAGACTTGAGCATGTTTAAAAAACTAAAGGGATTATTTCCACTTCCAAGAGAGATGGAATAGTTAGTAGTAAACCAGTGCTTCTATAGAGAACATTCAGAAAAGCCAGATAAAATACAGAAATCATCTTTTTGAAGGCGGCAGAGGGGTACTGAGACAATAAGAACCAGAGGGACTAAAATTCCAGAGAGGGAGAGACTCTCACAGAGATGAGATATCTATCCCCTGCAGCTGCTTTCACCCTGATACATTTGCTGATTCTAGGTGTGGGCAGGAGGCTGAGATTTTAGGCTTTGCACCAGCAGAGGAATCCATTGCCAGGGGATAGAGAATGCTACAGAGTTTCTGGCAGAAATAAACCAGTTCTAAATGTGAAAGGTTAAAAATAAAAATCAAAAAGAAAACATAGATGGGAGCACTTGAGATCTTGCTCCCAGGCATATGTTATCAGTTTGGCTCAGATAAACTTTTATGAAAATTCTTAAAAAAAAAAAGAAACCGTAAACTAGTATCTTCATGACCTTGGCATTTCTTAAACAGGACATATAAAGTCCTAGCCTAAAGGAAAAATATTAATAAACTGGACTACATTAAAATTTCTGTTCAATGAAAGACCCCTTTAAGGAAGTAAAAAGGCAAGCCACAGAGCAGAGATAATATAGATAATATACATACATATTCAATAAAGGGATTATATAGAACACCTATAAATTAATAAGAAAAAGGTAGTTAAGTCTATTTAAAAAAGGAAAAGACTTGAGCAGGCACTTTACAAAAGAGGCTAGTGAAACTGTCAATAGAAATATAAAGTTACTCAATCTTATCAATCATCAGAAAAATCAAATTAAAAGCACAATGCAACATCACTAAACATCCACAAGAATGGCTAAAATGAAAGAAACGATACCAAGTTTGTTAAAGATATAAAGTATCTAGAACTCTCATACACTGCTGTTGGAAGTGTAAATTTGTACACTTAAAATCCAATCCCTCTGAGATATACACCCAATAGAAATGGGTATATGTGTTCAAAGAACATGTACAAGAAATGTTCACTGAAGCATTATTTATAACAGTAAAAACTGGAAACAACCCAAATGTGTCCATTAACAGTATAATGGATAAATATATGTAAACTGTGTTATAAACTACAACTATACAAATATGGATGAATCTCACAAACATAATGTTGAATAAAAAAAGCCAGACACAAAAAAAGTATATGAAATGTGATTCCATTTATATAAAGTTTAAAGACAGACAGAACTAATCTATGGTGTTAGAAGCCAGAATAATAGTGGTTAGTTACCACTGATGGGAAGTTTTAATGACTGGGAGCCTGGGGCTGTGGTAAGTTCTGCTGCCAGAACTTAGTACTGGTTACACTGCTGTGACATTTTGTGAAAATTCATTGAACTGAATATATAATATTTCTATATGTATATTATATTTCAATAAAAAGTTTATATAAAAAAAGACAGTATATCAATTTTGTGGAGAGTAAGAAGTTAACAATACTGAGGACAGGATGAGGTATGGTACCAGATCAGAACTGGGCAAATGTCACACTATTCTTCTACACTTTCAAGGCAACCACAATACAACTGGACTTGCTTCAACCATCAACAGAGAATTCCATTCACCTGGCCTCCCAGGAGTGTGGATGAAGGGTCTTTAGAAGAATCTGACTGGTCCTCTTATCTGCTGGCTCAACTCCTAGGCAAATAGCTCCATTGTCCAAGTGGTATAATCAAGGAGCAACATTTACGTGGAAGAAACGCAAGGTCCTAATTAAGGCATGAGACTGCAGAGAAATATAACATTACTGAGCCCAGGAAAAGGAAAATTCTCTGAGTAAGCATTACCTGCCCCAAGCGCGCTGCACTATATACTCCCCAGATAAACCAAACATTGGATTCTCCCTTTAATGGAGGGAACCATAAACAGTGATAATTACTCAAGACAGTTCTTGAGTAATTATTTTCCATCCAAGGGCCATCAATTTAAGGCCCAAGAGAGACATGGACTGGAAGTCAACCAACCTCTCTCCATAAATAGTTACCGAGAATCACGTCAGTGGAAGGCTCTACCTTAAGTGTATGTATGCAGAGGGAAGAAGATCTATTCCATGATCAAAGTAATACCAAGCAAGGTAGTAACTGGTCAGCAACCTGATAAAATTTCTCGAAGAATCCAGAGACAAGTTCATCTTCCAGGTGGGATGATAAGAAAAACCTTCAGGAATAAGTATACTTAAACTGGGACTTATAGGATGGAGAGAATTTTAAGGACAAAGTTGGGGATAAGAAATAGAGTACTTAGATATTCTAGGCAAAGGCGAATGATATGAGCAAAACCAGAGACTGGAAAGTACAGACAAAAAATGAGCATTTAGAGTATCTACTATGTGCCAGGCATCATGTTAGATGCTGCTTTTTATATAATTAATTCATGAGGCTCAGAAAGGTTAGGTAATTTGCCTAAGACAGTAAACTGGCAGAGCCAAGATTAAAATCCAGTTTTAATTTCAGAACAAGTGACCTTTCTGGTATGCGTGGCAAAGAGAAGAGTGTAAGATAAAGCTGAAAAGGTTAAACTATTATTGGGGCCCTGAAAACCTTTTATTTTGTGAATGGACCATGAAGGGTTTTTTTGCGGGGAGGAGAGAGTTGGGAGCAGAGTTACAAAAAGTCTCATCCAGTAACATATTTAAGGAAGATTTAAGAAGAAATGTTAGAACTGAGTTGAGAAGTGTGGTTAGAGAGCAGGGAATATATAAATATACCTTAAGACTATAAAAAAGAACACTGAAGGTAAAGCAAAGAGAAGATAGATTACTTCCAAAGTTTGGATGAAGGTACCTAGAAGCAATGTGATGCCAAACCCAAGAGAAGTAAAAAAGGGCTTACTAGTAGTCAAAGAAGCTACTAAAGTGATGCATCGCCTACCAAAACATCTGCTTTTTTCACCAATGTATTCAGGATCTAGCGCAGTGTTTCACACATAGCAGGTCATCAATAAACTTTCGATGAAGTAAGGAAGAGAAGTCAAAGGACCAGATGGGAGCTGCAGAGAGGTCAAGGGTTGGATCAAGATTTTAATAATTCATTATAACATATAATAATAGGTTATGACTAAATCAACTGAAATGAATGAAAATTTTACTAGAATGTAAAGACAGAAAGAGAGGGCAGAGTACACAGACCTGGAGAATACCATGCATTCCTGGTAATGACAAAAATAAGTAAGAATAGACAGGGGAAAATATCAAGAAGTCAAGAGAACTGAGGTTGCTGGTGACCCCCTACAGAAGAGGTTAAGGGGAAAGGTAGAAGTAAGAGAGATGAAAGAGGCGAAGTGAGGAAGGAGTAAGTGGCTGGTGAGGAAGTGGGTGTAGAGAATGCAGAAAACTCATTCAAAAAGTTTGATGAAGAAAAACAAGAAAATAGGAAGACAAAAGCTGAAGGAGATGGCATGATTACGGTAATGTGCACTAGGATGGGGAATCTGAAGATGTTTGAAGGTTAGAGGGTATAAAGTCCCAAAGGTAGCAGGATGGGATGGGATCAAAAGCACACACAGGTTGAGCAAGTAAGACGAGTGATACCTCGTCCTTTTTGAAACAGAATAGGTGGAGAGGGAAAACAGTAAGAAAAGTGCTGAGCTAGAGATGTATATTGTCATTCCTATTCTTAAAAGAGAAGAAAAGAAAGAAAGAGAAAACTTCTCAAAAAGTCCAAGTCATTCCCAGGCAATAGAACACCAACAGAACTACCAAAAAGTTGGCTTGCGTACACTGCACTATGCCCTGATAGACAACACTCTCCTAAGAACAGGAATCTGGACTAACCTGTCTCTGTATCTGGCCCAGCTTAGCCTGGCATAAAAACTAGCACCAAGAGGACCACAATAAACGTTAAGGGAAAGAAAAAAAGATATGAGCAGGTAAGCAGGACCTGGGAGGACTCATTGGCTCATATGGGCTGATATTTCTCTTATAAGAGGAGCACCAACATTAAAGAACAACTCCACTATAGCTTAGAATCCACAATGACTCCTCCCCAGGAGCCTTCAGGGAGATACTCTGAGTCCCATCTTCATAACCACTATCCCAAGGAAGCTGTACCATACACGGGCGTCTTCCCTGGCAGGATGACAATAATGAGCTGCAGCCCTGAGTAGGTGTTCTTGAGATGCCGGAACATGGGCTCCACGCTGTCTGCCCCCTGCGCATATTTGCAGAAGCAAGGCTGGCCCTGGATGGGCATCCCTGCATCCTTGGAAATCTTCCGCAGCTGGTCTGTGAAGTTCCTGCAGCACAAGTATGGTCATGACAGAAGGCAGTAAGTCCCACTTTAATACCTCTGACCAAATGCCTCCATCTTAGGTGCCTAAGCTCTATGATAGGCACTGAAGATTCTAAGATGAATGAGACATGATCACGGCTAGTGTAAAAAAAACATTTATAGTTGAGTAGGCCAAGATAGAGCTTGGTAAGAACTCAATGGTACAAGCAGAGAACTGAGGGAGCCCAGAAAAGGGACTTGTGGGAATTCTCAGGATCCCCACCATGTCCCACTCAAGCAACTGATTCCCGTGCTCTGTTATAAGTCCATAGCAACAGGCAGATGCCTGAGAGGAGGGCCTCTTTGTTCAAATTAAAATAAATAATGTTCCAACAGTGATTGGAACACAGGAGATGCTCAATAAAAATGAGCTCCCTCCTTCCCTACTAGTTCTTTGAAGCCTGAGAGCAAATAATAAACAAGCTTCTTTCCTTTGGCTTTAGGGCTTTATCCTGGGAAAGAAAGACAAAGTTGGAAGAGAGGGTACACATGTAATAGATTAAAAAGAATTAAGTTACATTAATATAATGACAGACTGAAATGAACAGCAGGAAATTTTGTGAAAATCCTGCATTTAGAATAAAAGCAATAATGTACAGAGAACAAAAGCAAATTGTTCAGAGGATTCTATTATAGAGCATATAAATTTAATACGATAGATTGAAAAATCTATGTAGTGAGAAAATAAGTATTATTTCACATATTTAGTTAAAAAACACAAGAAAGATAAATACTGTACAAGTTATGTAAAATTTTAAATCACTTATTAACATATATAAAATGTATAACTGGACAGGAAGGTTATAATAATTCAGACAGTAGCTGCATCAGAAGGCAGAAATGGGACTAGGATAGAGGATATAAAGGAAATGTCAAATTTACCTGTAATATTTAATTTACTTTAAAAAATAATATGACAAAACCCTGGATGATAGATACATGAGTGTTGGCATTATTAATCTCTATATTTTTAAAAATATTTCAAAATAAATTGTGGAATAAAGAAATACAATCTAACCATTGTAAATAAGAGCTAGAGCTCTGATGGGCTACAAACAGTATTTTTTTTCCATTTCTCTGTCTTATATACAACCGCAATGTAGCTATGAAAAAACTGATGTGTTATGAGATTCCATTAATAGTGGGTCTCTATTTCAAGGAAATTGGTATTCTCAGTCTTCCCTCTACTATCAGCTCATTTGAGATACTATGTCCAGTGTTGGGGGCCACAAAGTGTTTAAGTCTAAGATGGGGAAAGTCCTAAAAGTGATAAAGCTGAGGTATCAGGGCCTCTTCAACTAAAAGAAAAATTATGAGGGTTAACCCTACTACTCCCTCTTCCCTCTCCAAATACCAAATTCTTCACCCCCACAGTCACCTTTATCTCTCCCCTCTCTGTCTCAGTGGAAACAATATCTTTTCCTGTGCTCTGGATCCCATTCCCTCACACACTTAGGAACTCTGCTCTAGTTCCTTTCCAGTTTCTCTGACTTATACTTTCAGGCTGTGTTAACTGTGCACATTCTCCCTAGACAGTCTCATCCACTGCCATGGCTGAAGACTCTCAAATCTTTATCTTTAGCCCAGAACCTTTAGCCCAGAACCACATATCCAACTGGACACTACTGACCCAGGTACACAAGTCATATTCTCACTGCCTGCATCTAGAAATCATTGGGAGAAAGAGATGTCTGATGAACTGACTTCCTCCAACTCAGATTCCATGTTTATCAGTTTCTGTACCCCAAAATATCCAAAACAATGGATTGTTTCTCAAAAGAATGAGACAGGAGAAGGACATGGCAATGAGAATGAAGCACATAAAGAATACAGCTACCAAAAAGGTGACACAAAGGCAGAGAGCTGGGAGCCTTTCCAATACTGCCAAAGACCAGCCCTCCAATACTACCCAAAGGCTAGGAGATGCCTCACTTAAATGGGGCTAAAATGCCAAGAACCCAGGAAGAAGGACAAGAGGAACCCATTTAAAAGAATGACAATTGTGATGGTAGTAGCTGGGTACCTGTGAAGTGGAAAGGAGGAAGCGGGGCAGAGCAGCCAGAGTCCCCACATTCATCAGGGGCTGCTGTAACTAATTCTTATGAAAACACCAAGGCCAGCTGAACTCACCAGGGAACACATCTCTATTATCCTTGTAGCTGCCCAAAGTGGTCAGCCCTACCAACATTCCTCAACCTCAGAGTACTCTGACCCCATCCCAGATGCAGAGAAATAAGAAACCATCACTTCAAAAGACCAAACTATACACTGTAAATAAGTGAATTTTGTGATATTTGAAATAGATCTCAATAAAGCTGTTTAAAAAAAAAAAAAGACTACAAGGGGAGAATCACTGACTTCTTCTACTTACTCATTCACTCAGTCAAGACTGTTATTCCCCTAACCTGCTCCTATAAACCATTCAGCTGTCATCTACTCCCAGACCCTCAGCCAGAGGCCTTTACAACTTATGCTCACCTAATTCAGGTCACTTGGACCTGACTGAACAAATTTTGTACATAGGAGAGGGCAGGTCAGAGAACCAACTGAATAAGTTGCTCTTTTTTTGTTTCCAATAAGGAATATAAGCTTTGAAGCCTCAGATCTGATTTGATCCCATCTGATACTTTCTTGATATGCAAACTTTGCACAAGTTACTTAACATCTTTGAGCCTCGGCCTCCTGAAAATGGAAATACCACCACCTACTCACTGTGAAGATGAAATAAGAGAACATAGAATTAGGTACAATGTTGGCATAAACATTATAGTCATCACTGCCACTATATATTACCAATGTTAATAATTATAACAAAAAAATAATTCAGGCCTCCCTTAGGAGATTCATGCCCTGAAATCTTAATCTCTTAACTGATAGGGCTCCTAATCAAGACTCCTGACCACAGACTGGCAGAAAAGGAGCAAGCAGAAGTTTGAGCCAGACAGCACAAGGAGGCAGAGTCAAGAACCAGAAAGAGCACACTACAGATCAAATCTTGGCCCCTCAGGGGTAGGAGAAATTAGGCAGCTCTCAGGTCCTTCCCACCCTTCCATCCATATACCCAGCCCTCCTTACTTGAGCACCTCTTCTCGACACTGTTTTTGGGGTGCGAAGCAAGCGATGGCCCAGACTTTTATCTCAATGCCATTGTAGAACTGTTTCCCCCGCATGTCCCAGACACCCTGATTGGGTGTGGCAATGGCCCGGTTCTGAGGATAGGCAAAGGGGGAGCCCAGGTGAGCCTCAGTAGAGCCAAGTGGGTAGGGGAGCAAAAGCCCCTGGCTGTACAACCCAATCTCCTCCCAAAATGCCCCAGAGATGTTGTCTGGCCCTGACCCTGCTCACCCGGCCGCCGTACTGCAAAATGGGCGCCGGCAGCACTCGTCCCGTCACCTCCGTCATGTCATCCTTTACTTTGATCCCAAATTCCTGGATATAAGGGTCTAGGTTGTAGCTGGCATTCTTCATCTGCAAGACAAAAGATGTGGATCTCAGGAGAGCGGCAGCTTGGCAATACCACTCACCCTCTAGGTCCCAAGTAGAATGCCCTAGGCAGCTGAGACTGGCAAGAATAGCCATAAAAAAGGAGAGAAAGTGGAAGATGACCTAAGTGGGAGTGGATAACATAGATAAGTAACACAAAAGAGAAAAAGAAATAGGAAGCTGAGTAGCTACAGCATCAAGCAAAAGTCCTACGGAGCCCTAGGCAACAAATCTAGACTTGTGTTCTCCTGAGGGTCCTGGCCAAGGCAGAAAAGCATCTATGCTAACAGGGGCCCCAGTGACTGAGCAACCCAGCATACGTTTCTCTGCAGCCCCACTGACCAGGCGGCTGATCTCTTCCTGTCTGTCTGGGGCCGACCTAGCTGTAGCCTTTATCATGGTTGACGTCTGGTTGTCCGTCAGCTTCTTAATGCAGCGCTGCCCAGCCACAATGTTACAGACCTGAGGAAACAAGAGGAGTAGGTAAGTCTGGCTTGAGTTCAGTCTACCCTATACTCAGAGCCCCACAGTAAAGAGACCTTGGCTGTCGGCCCTGCAAAATCCTTTGGGCATACAGGTTAGAAAATATTCACGTGCAATACAAAAGGCAGTAGAGCCACTTTGTGATTAAGAGCTTGTGATCCAGAGCCAGATCAGGGCTCAGGTCTCATATGTTAAATGGGGAGAATAATAACAATTTCAAAGGGTTGTTTGGAGACTAAATAAAAATAAAGCACTTAAAGGGCTGAGTACAGTTCTAGAACACAGTAAATATTCAATAAATTGCAGGACAAACTACTATTTACCAAAGGACCCATTGTTAGAACTCTTCTGAATATTAAAAAACTCAATATACACAAACTAGATTCCTAAAGTAGTATAGGCAGCTCTTAATGGTGGCAGGTAGTCTGTTGCTCCATCCTGCAACTCACCAAGAAAACTAAGACTGGCTCTTAACTCTTGAGTCCCAGCCTACAGATAATCATCGAGGCCCTGAACTATAGAAATCACTGTCTCTGTTGACTGACAGTGTCCTCTGTTCATGTGAGAAACATCTTGCTGCTCAGTTCCTCTGGGGCCCAACAGAACATAATGGAGATCAGCGAAGACTTTCTAGTGATATATAAGACTCCCATTGCTCATTTTATTATATTCAAGATGCTGTGAACAGGAAGCCTTATGGCAGAGTAGAGAGAGTCAGTAAGTTTAGAAGACTTGAGTTTGAAACCCAGCTTTGCCATTTTAGGTGCTGTTACTTTGGGCATGTGTAGGTCTCTTAACCACTGAGACTGGTTCTTTATTTCAGTCATGGAAAAACAGACTAGCTATCTCATGAAGTGGCTGTGAGGATTTAGAAGAAATGAAATATATAATTTGCTCCCATAGGGCCAATACTATGTAAGTACTGGTTCTCTTCTCAATTTCCAATTTCATGCTGAACAACGGTAGGAAAAACCAGGACAAGGTCACCTGCCTTAAATTCTGAATCCCAAACAATACAAAAATTAGTGAATTCACTTAATGACAGTCCAGAATTAAAATCTGTGAGGTAGCTCTCTTGAAGGCACCTTAAAGTTGTAATACTCTCTACAGATGATTTCAGCTACAGAATCAACACTAAGAAAAAGACTAAAAGCAGGGATGTGGAGAAACTGGTAGGAAGGTAAAAAAGTACAGCCTTTGTGGAAAGCAATATGATGATTCCTCAAAAAATTAAACAAAGAATTACCATATAATCCAGCAATTCTACTTCTGGGCATGTACTCAAAACAAGTGAAAACAAGGACTAGAATTAATATCTGTACACCTATATCCATAGCAGCATTATTCACAATAGTTAAAAGATGGAAGCAACCCAACTGTCTGTCAATGAATGAATGGATAAACAAAATGTGGTATATGAACATTATTCAGCCTTAAAAAGAAAGAAAATTCCGCCATATGCTACAACATAGATGAACCTTGAAGACATTATACAAAGTGAAACAGGCCAGTCAAAAAAGGCCACATATTATATAATTCCATTTATATGAAATTCCCAGAACAAATAAATCCACAGAGACAGAAACAGATTAGTGATTACTAGCGGGTGGTGAGGAAGAATTGAATGGTGAATGGTAATAGGTATGGGCTTTCTTCTGGGGGTGATGAAAATGTTTTAGTATCAGATAGTGTTGATCGTTGCACAACTTTGTGAACATACTAAAATAAAACCACTGAATCGTATACTTTAAGAATGAATTTTATGGTATGTGAATATCTTGAAAAAGCTATTCTCAAAAAAATCCCACCAGGCTACAATAGCCTACATGATTTGACATGAATCTTTCTCCAAAATCATCTCCTACTACTTTTCCTCTCATAAACTACATGTCAACCACTATGACCTCTGTCTTTTAAAAAGATCCAAGCTTCCTGCTGCTTTAGAGCCTTTGTGCTTGCTATTATCTCCTGCCTGGAAGGCTCTTCCCTTATATTACAAGGTTGGTTCTATCTCATAATTTGGGACTCAGCTCAAACGTCTCTTAAAAGAGGACTTGACTTCCCTGACCACAATAACTAAAGTGGCTTTTCAACTGTCTCCACTCAGACTTCTATCCCCTTAACCTATTTTATTATTCTTATAACACCACCATCTGAAACTATCTTATATATCAACTTATTGTCTATCTCCCCCTTCTAGAATGTAAGCTCCATGACAGCAGGGACCTTGTCTTGTTAACCTCTACATTCCCAGCACCTAAAAGAGTATATGACACAAAGTAGGAGCTCAATAAATTTGTTAAATAAACAAACAACAGTAAAAATCAAAATATAAGTTATTACATAAATTATTCCCCTTGGAAACTATTGCTTAAATAGAAGTAATGTTAATTTGCTAACAAATCTCAGCTGGCAGTAGATATTACCTAAAGCCTATCTACTTAGCTGGGATTATCCCGAAAGACGTCCGTTTACATCTCAGAGAAAATATTGCGTTCATCTCACTTTCTGTGCATCATCTATTAATTAAGTCAGAAATTTTGGGTTTGGGGATCTCTTCTCCCTTCAGAGATCTCTTTTCTTCTGGTTTGTTCTGAAATCCCAAAAGCTCACAGAGGCTTGAGCTTTGGTCCCAACTATTTGACTCCTGCCACTGGAACAAAGTAAGACAACTTTGTTGTCTAGGCTAATGCTTCTCCAACTTTAATATCCATATGAATCCTCTCTGGATTCTGTTAAAAGACAGATTCTGATTCAGTAGGTCTGGGTGGAATCTGAGATTCTGCATTTCAAACACGTTCCTGGGTAATATCTACACTGTTGGTCCACTAACCATACTTTGAGTAGCAATGGACTAGACAATGAAGCAGTCAGCATCAGTTTCTTATTAGACATTTTGGCTAGTGCATACCAAACCAAATAGAGCCTGATAGTTCTATATTCATACATTCTATAACTTAAGTAGCATTACTATTCTTTCTTTAATTTCAGGATTTCAAAGATCTGTTAAAGCATAAAAATAGACAAATCTTGAAGCCAAACTTTTTCAAAAAGAGTACATTGATCTTATTAGGGAAATAGGATTCATGTAATAGGTAACATTCATCTTCATTTTCTGTAAAACAAGGTACATTTATATCTCTAGGTCATTTATGATCCCCAGCTCCAGAGAACAGGAAAAGAGAAATTAAGAGAACATGAATGTGGGTAACTGAAATCTCTGTCCTGAACGAATTACTTACTTAAAAAACAGTAAATGTAGCTTTCAACTCTGCATGGCAGTCCTGAAAGAGTATGAGAACAGGATGGGAAATAAAAGAATTTAGCGGGTAAGGATGAGGCCTACATTTCACAGAATGACCTCATACCTCTCAAAATGTCAGTTTTCCAAACTTTAAAATGTAGGTGAGAGACTACAAATGGAAGAACAGACCTCTGATGATCAGTGTGCAAGTACAAGGCTTGTTCCCCAGCCCAGCCATTAAGTGGCAGCCTCACCTCTAGGGGCAGGTAGGTATGCTTTTGTTCCTGGCCAACTTGTAGGCAGGGCAGGTGGGGATACTTGAGCTGAAGGTTATATTTCTGCTTGAAATACTGTGCCACTGTACACTCCACAGTCTGTCCACTCTCCAGTTGCAAGGGAAACCTGTTTGGGGGAAGGGAAGGAGGTGTCACAGCCCAGTATTCGATCCTACCTTTCTAGACCTACAACCATGGGAAGACCCAGACTTGGCTTCATCCCTATCCAGCCTCTTTTGAGAACTGCAACTTTTGGGAAAGCAGGAAATACAAGGCTCCAAAAGAGAAGCCAAAGATTTCAGACAAGTTCCACACTGTCAGGACACACCTCACTCAACTGTATTTCTAGTGTCGAGCATAAAGCCTGACACAGATTAGGTACTCATAGTCCAATGTAGTCCGAGGTCAAAAAGGTGGATGAAATCAATGACAGCTTCCCCGAGGTCTAGCCCAGGAAACCAGCTTTCTTTTTCAGGAAGAAGAATAAGTTGAAAGAGATTCTAACATTTATAGAACTGAGACAGAAAGGAGTCAGGGGAAGATGTCTAATCTACTGTAAAGGCCCACAGAGGAAAGGGAGAGACCAAGAAGGTAAAAATGGTAAGGAGAGTATCAACGGACCTGAGAAGGTTGGGAGAGGGATGTCAAATTCCCACAGCTTATCTTTGAAAACGGGGTTCATTTTTCAGGGTTGCTTGGGGTGGGGGTAAGAGTGGGGAGTGAAGCAAGTGTGTTGAAATATTAGCCCTCTTCCATCAATGGTATGGCTTAGAAGCCCTGTCAACTTACGTCTGATGGCTGGCAGGGCGGCGGGTAACATTACATACACGGTACTTCCTCTTCATCTGTCCACAGTGGGTCACTTCCACCTTCAGGCCTGGGATACACATTGCTTGTCAGGGTTGGAATAGGTGGCTCAGGTTCCCAGGCTTGGCCTCGCCCCTGAACATATCCCAAGGGGATTTCCTTTTAGGGATAAAGAGAAAGTAATACTGTTTCCCTTCCCTGCCTGGCTGGGTCCTCACCCTTGATCTCCTTGGTGAAGCGTACACGCTGAGAGTCCGTGAGGGGCTTGGGCTGCTCATCTATGTTCCTGATGTCCAGCACCTCACACATGAACTCAATCACCGGCTGCGCCTTGTAGAAGGCAGTGGCTGAGACTGTGAGGACAGGGAAGGTATAGCTTAGGTCAGGTTCTGCCTCCCAGAATAAATGGAGGCACTGCTCTTTACACCCTCTTCCTCATAGGGAATTGGGATGGGGGAGGGGTCCCAGGGCTGTAGGAATTAGACTAGGAGTGTGGTTGCAGAGCTGGGAGGGATGAGGCTGGGAGTGTGGTCACTGGACTCAGGGTACCCCTGGTTCCATAACTCTCCCCACTCACCATCAATGTTGAGCATCATCTTCCACATGGCAGGGCGCACAGACTGGTGAAAGCCGAACCAGACCTCGCGCCCACCCCCCAGCGGGTGGTAGTAGCCCTCAGGCGGTGAGAAGAAGGAGCGGCCCACAGGGGTGTACCTGGCAGGGACAGGCAGAGAACTGGTCCCTCGGGCACAGGCCCCCACCCTGTGAGGCATCCTGGGCACGGAGGAGCCCTGGCCTGGAAGGCAGGACACCAGGGCTTTAATTCCAGCTCTGATCCTTTACTAGTTGTGTGACTGACCTTGTGCAAGTCTCTAACCTTTCTCTGCCCTGCATGGAAAGACGGGGTGAGGCCCAAAGATATCTAAAAGGGACAGGGCCAATGCTTTAAACCATCTAAATGTTTATACACACTTGCCTGGTATATGGTAAGGTTTCAAAGACTATTTTGTTTGAAAGGCACACAGAAAGACTTTAACATCTGCTCATTCCCCTCTTCCCCCCACTGCACTTCTGATACCACTAGTAGCCCAGATATTAACTATACCCAGTACCTCATGGATGCCAGGTGCCTCATGGCCACATCCAGGGCTTGCACAGACTCCAGGGGAACAGGGATCTGGCCACTGACCAGGGCCTCATGCAGCATGCGCCAGCTCACGATGGCTAGCCACTTGATGGAGACCTTGAATATTCGATCCTTCCCTTCCCCAGGGATTGTCACCTCAAAGTCAACCTTCAGTAGAGAGAAAAGGGTAAAGAAATGCCAATGCTTTCCCACAGTCCAACATTCTCTGCCCTGTCCCAAACTATCTCTCATTCCATGGATTTGCTAAGAATCTGCTCCTTAAGCTGATAGGGGATCTCAACAAAGACTTCAGAGTAAAAGCAGCCCCTTAGTCTCCAGCCACCTTGGTTCACAGCTTCTATCCCTCTCAACCACATCTAGCAGAAAGTCCTTTAAGTCCAAGTCTATTTTTTAAGTCTAATCTCAATCTGTCTGGAACAGGGACAGACATACAGAAGGCTAAATAAACATCAGTACCTACTTACCCCTCACCCTAAAATACACTTTCTCAGCACAAAAGATGAAAGACATCTCCGGACTACCAGACTCCAAACAGGCTTACATGAGCTCTGACCCACCCCAGACCCGACACATGTCTTGGACTACCAGACTCCAAACAGGCTTACATGATGAGCTCTGACCCACCCCAGACCCGACACATGTCTAGCCTGAATCCCAACCTTACCCGTTCATTGCCAATGGGCAGTGCTGTGACAGTGTAAATATTCTTCTTTCCGTCATACACGGGCTTGCGATCACCAAAGATCTGAGGCTTGAAATGCTGGACCATGTATTCCACCACTTCCCTATGGGGGATAGAAATGGCCTGTGGAAGCTGAGAGACTACCACTTCAAGCTTTTGGAAGTAACATAAGGCCCAGGCAAGATCCTATCTACTACATTCTCTCCTAGCAGCTACTCTAATCTCATTTACTCTATGGTTGTGCTTCTCAAACTTCAACATTCATATGAATCACCTGGAGATCTTATTAAAATGCAGATTCTGACTTAGTAGTCAGAGCAAAGCCTGAAAATCTTACATTTCTAATATGCTCCCAGGTGATGCTTCTGGTCCTCAGACCACCAAGGCTGTAAAAGACCTGAAAGAGTAGGTATGAGTGCCTTCTGAGCAGAGGGGGAACCTAGGGGGAGAAGGGCTTCATCTTAGGGTCTATCCAGAATCAGGAACAGAATTGAGGCTGCTCCAATTCTCAGGCTGATAAGGAAAAAAATGTAGATGGGCAAGAGATCAAATTGGAATAGGAATAAACTGTGGAAGAACCTCATATCTTTCATCTCTCTGAAGCCCTTAGTCCCGCCACACAGTTTTCTCTTCATTATCACCTCTTCGTAAATTTCACTTTCTGTCCTCTGCCACTTAAGATTCCAGAGTGTCCATCTGCCCTTCAAAACCCCAGTCCATCCAACTATCTGATCTCTTCACTTTCTAAACCAAAGCTCTTGAATACTAACGGATAAAAAGACTCAAAATGTACACTGGAAGCAACTGTAAACACATGGTTTCAATCCCAATTAGGTTTCAGTGCTGCCCAACAATCTTTTCCATGTCCCCTGATCACTTCTGTCCCTCATAGACTTTGTCAAACTTTCTCCACTACCTTCTAATTCCAGAACCCAATTCTATGTCCTATCAAAAAGCAATTCCCTAACTCTGAAAAGAGTAGACCATAGTAAGCAAGGCCAATTTCAAGTTCTCAAACATAAAACCATATTTATATATGCATGCCTCTTTTCCTTTCTTTCCTCTCACACTTGAAATGTCCTTCCGTATTTGATTTTTAAACATCTGAAAAATGCGTTCAACTTCACTCATTAGAGAAACATAATTTAAAATTAGGAAAAAATATAGAAAAAGACACAAAGACCAATGCAACAGAATTGAGAGCCCAGAAATAAACCCACATATATATGACCTAATTTATAACAAAAGAGCCAAGAATGTATAATGGCGAAAAGAAAGTCTCTTCAATAAAAAGTGTTGCGAAAACTGGACAATCATATGCAAAAGAGTGAAACTAGACAACTATCTTACATTGTACACAAAAATTAACTCACGATGGGTTAAAGATTTAAATTTAAGACCTGAAACAATAAAATACATAGAAGACATAGGCACTAAGCTTCTGAACATTGGTCTTGGTGGTGTTTTTGTGAATTTGACTCCAGAGGCGAGGGAAACAAAAATAAACAAATGTGACTACATCAACAAAAAAGATTCTGCACAGCAAAGAAAACCATCAACAAAACAAAAAGGCAACCAACCAAATGGGAGAAGATATTTGCAAATGATATTTCTGATAAGGAGTCAATGTCCAAAATATATAAAGAACTCATACAATTCAACAACAACAACAAAACAACCCAATTAAAAAATGGACAGAGGATCTGAAGACATTTTTCAAAAGAAGACATACAGATCACCAATAGGTACATGAAAAGATGTTCAACATCACTAATTATCAGGGAAATGCAAATCAAAACCACGAGATATCACCTAACACCTGCTAGAATGAATATTATCAAAAACACAAGAAATAGCAAGTGTTGACAAGAATGTAGAGAAAAAGGAACCCTCATACACTACTGGTAGGGTGGTAAATTGGTGCAGCTACTATGGAAAAACAGTATGGAGGTTCCTCAAAAAACTAAGAATAGAACTACCAAATGATCCAGCAATTCTTCTTCTGGGTATTTATCCGAACAATATGAAAACATTAATTCAAAAAGATATATGTGCCCCTATATTCACTGTAGCATTACTTTCAATAGCTAAGATATGGAAATAACTTAAGTGTCCATCAACAGATAGATGGATAAAGATGTGGCATATGCACACCACCCCCCCACACACACACACAATGGACTACTACTACTCAGTCGTAAAAAATGTGAAATATTGCCATTTGCAACAACATGGAGGGATCTTGAAAGTATTAGCTTAAGTGAAATAAGTTAGATACAAAAACTATACAATTTCACTCATATATGGAATAAAAACCAAAGATGTAACAAACGAACAGAACAAAATAAAAGCAAACTCATAAATACAGACAACAGATTGGTGGTTACCAAAGAGAAGAGGAGGAGAGGGAGGGTGTAATGGTTAAAGGGGGTCAAATATATGGATGATGAGTGGAAAATAGTCTTTCTGTGGTGAGCACACAATAGAGTACACAGACATTGAATTATAATGTTGGATACCTGAAATCTGTATATTATTATTAATCTTAGTGAAAAAATAGAAACCAAACTCTGAGTCAGCTTATAATTGGAATGATAAATATTTTTCACATGAATTAAAATTCCACAATGAAATATGGGAAAAATAATTTTAAAAATTCAATTCAAATATAATTTTTTAATTGTCAAAACATCAAAAATCAAAAAACAAAATATACTGAATTGGTGCAGATATGAGGAAGAGGCACTGATATTTACTAATGGGAGTATAAATTAGTACAACTTACCTTAAAAAAAAACTAGCAATATCTCAAAATTTTTAAAAGTATTGTGCCAACAAATCCACTCCTAGGAATTTATCCTACAGATACATTCATATTTGAGTATAAAAATGTATCGATATTTAATAATATTCAATAGCTTCATTTTTGTAGCAAATGTTGAGATTCAACCTAAATGTCCCTCAACAGATTAAATAAGTTATAATATCATATTCAATGATATACCTATGCAAAAGAATGAGGCAGATACATATGTACTGACATGTATTATTTTCCAAAGTATATTTGTTCAGTGGGAAAAATCAAGGTGCAGAACAAGGTACACAGGATTCTAAATTCTGTGCATTTTTTAAAAATGTGCTATATACATATATGCTTGCATATGAAAAGAAAAATATCTAGACACATACTCAAGAATGGTAACAATCATACTCAAGAATGGTAACAATCATACTCAAGAATGGTAACAATCACACTCAACAATGGTAACAATGAATGCCTCTGGGGAAAGGGACTATGAGATTAGAGACCGGGGTAACAGGAGTCAGTTTTCACCGCTACTTTTTGTAATATTTTAATTTTTTTTTTCCATTGTGCATATATAGTTTTCAAATAATAAAATAACTTTTAAAAAGAAAAGCTTCTAAGGCTAATCTCTCCAACTGTATATCATGTAAAGTCTTCCTGTCTCAGCAAGGCCATCCCACTCATTCCTCCTCTCTCTGCCATGTACTTTTAACCTCTTCTTCTCCACGAGCCCCTTCTCCTCGGTTTATAAACATATCCACGTCTCATTCTTAAAAACTTTTCATTCATTTCAATAAACATTAAAATGTGTAGGTACTATATTTGACCCTATAATCCTCTCTAGCCAACATATTTCCACTCTCCCCAAGTTTCGCTGTTAAGCTATCTGGAAAAAGTTATCTGCTTTCACTATCCCTACCACATTACCTTCCATTTATTCCATAACTCACTGTAGTTAGATTATTAGCCCAACTATTCTACTAAAACTGTTCTGATAAAAGGCACCAATCCTCTTCTAACAGCCAAATCCAATGATATTTTTCAGCATTTACCTTCTTGGAATGTCATAAACTTTCTTGAATTTGGTGATACCAACCTCTACTAATTTTTCTTTTACCTCTTTGGATCCTCTTTTAAGGTTCTGAGACTCAGAAAAGTGAAGACTCCTGTACTTGGTGTCTTAGATGTGCATCGCTTACCGATTGACTCTGCGAGGACACTTATCCGGCTTGATATCCACCTCGTAGTGGTAGACGTCAATCTTAGGGATGTCCACCTCAAAGTAATTGGCCAGGAGCTTGATTGGTTTCCCCACTGTGCCAATGCCAGGCCTGCGAGGTGCCTGGAACACCTGCTGCAGAGGGGGCAGGTATGCGCCCGCAGCTACAAGACAAAGAGGCTGGTGAGGGTAAAGTCTGGCAGTCTCCTTTTACTCTGATCAGAGAAAGCACAAGGCTTCCCAGAAAAGGAGCAGGAGAGCACAAGGGAAGCCTCTTTCCTGCTTACCCAACCCAACTGAGGGCTTCCACTGGCTCAGACATCCCGGGTTTATTTAAAAAA